AGCGGACTGGCCTTCTTCGCCGTGGTGACGCGGTTCTGGGGCCGCACCATCGAGCGTTCCAACATGTGGGAGACGATTCTCAAATTCGAGATCAATTCTGCCAACTACCTGCCACTTATGACGTGGGCCATTGAGCGTGGCCGTGACACTCCCAAATATGGCACCGACTTGAACATGACGATTGACTATCCCGAGAAGTACGACCCGAAATACACGACCGACGAAGCCCCCAAGCATGGCAAACTGCAAATGACTCTAAACATTCTCTGCTACTGCGACACGCTTCGTGAAGCGCAAACGTTGCTTGGCGCGTATGAGAAGTTTACCCCCGAGGTGCGCGACGCCCTAGTTCGCCTCGAACCTGTACAGCCGCGGACTTTTGAGTTTGTATTCGACCGCAAGCGAGGCTTTCTCGGCAACGGCAAGCAAGAGAGGTGGCAGATAAACAGTATCATGAACGATCCCAACGTCCCGCTTGATCAAGTAAGCATAATTCACCCCCCAAATTCCTGTTGCCCTGACGCTGACAACACGCGGCGCAGCTTCTCACGGCTATAAAGCCCTGCATGCTTGAGCTGCCTACGCGGACCACGTCCGTCTTTCTTTGCCACTGCGACATTACTCCCAACGAAGAAGATGCCGCCTTGAGTTTGCCGCAAGACCTCTACATCTCTACCATAACCGGCTGGAGCGATCCCGCCTTGGAGCCGGCCATATACCAGCCCATGATTGAACGCTACAGACGGGCTTTCCCGGTCGCCATAGGCCAATACATTACAGAGTTGGATGTGAATAAGGAAGAAGCAAATGTAGGTTTTGGATTCAGATGGAAATTTGTAATAAGGCTAACCGTTTATTGCTTGTAGTGCAGGGTCCTTAGCGACACGGCTCTCGCCAAGTTCCTCAAGATTCGGGAGAAGTGGGATCCTCAGGAGCTGTTTCCCAATTACAAGGCACTTGTCAAAACTCACGACAAGATGGCTCAATTGGAGAAGAGGAACGCGCACTTGTAGTCTGCGTACCTACATCCAGTGGTCTGAACATGATGGACGGCAGGCATCATGAAGTAGAACTCATTTAGCTTCAGGAGTATTCTATTTGCTTGGAAAGAAAAAGAAATTGCTTATTAAAGACGGTCGCTATTATAGTACTACCATCTAGCAAGAAGCAGCACTCTGATACGTATTTAGCTTTCGTATTATTACACTCTTTCTATGGGAACATGAAGCATTTGTCATTTTGCCGCAAGTAGTCGAGCTGTTCTTCGAAGTAGTAGCTAGATAGTCTCCGTGGTCCAAGGCGCTCGCGTGTGTAATAACAACTTCAGCCTTAATTTTGTGTATGCCTAAAGTTCTCTAAAACGTAATTGCTATGTGGAATCAGGCCCCTTTGTGTATTCTCGATTTGTTCCGCGTCGCGCCTCGCTCTCAGGCCTTCAGTTGATCTACCGTGGTACTCAGAATGCGGCAAGATCAAGATGAAAGCAACGCCGTGTTTGTGCTGCTGATGTCGCTGTGTGAATGTCGTTCTGTGGGGAGGGAAGATTTCTCTCTGACGCTGATCCGGAAGTCCCAGGAATTTAATGCCAACCATAAAGCTCTCAGTAATAACACGGTATCAGGATTTGCAATATTTAAAGAGATCTTCGGTGGGTTCACCATTGAGAGAGCCTCTGTTGGGGGGGGGGGTTTCATAGGAATCTTAAGAATATATCACCGTGCGGCCGCGTAAAGTAGAAGCAGTACATGTAGTTGGAATGGCCTGTAGAATAAAATCGTTTTCTCATATATTAGTAGCTATGTTTCCCAGTATTATGTGATGGTTCATAGTATAACTCCGGTTCTATATCCGAGCTTACCAACTCCCTATGAGTGGCGAAATCTTAGAAATATGGCCCACAACACCTAAAATTGACTTTTGATACTCCTTGCTACTAGAGAATGTTCTTGCAGCTCCGGAGGAATGAGAGAGCGTTCTGTAACGTTAACAGTATTGTGTTTTCCGAACACTTGAGCCGCTAGGGGCGCAACTAGCGGACACGTACAAAGGATTCTAAAACATCATTGAACGGTCATGACTTTCTTATTTGAACACTATTACTCTTGGGTCCTAACAGGGTGACCATGTATTGATCACTGGGGACCCATATAAGCAAGCCACGAGTCCCTCGGGCACAATGCCTCCCCCGCCTGACGCAACAGTGACGTAAGAGGATTACCACGTTATTATGCCCAAAGGTTTATGGAAACTATAAATTCATCGATAAGTAAACTCCCAACTCAACAAGCAATGACTATAACGTCCTGGCTAACCCCCATACCCTACTGTCCCTCACATCATCGCCGCGCATGTCTCTCGCACAGCATCTCGCGCCCGAAGATGGATTCGACGTCCCAGACTGCCAGCAGTCCGATGAGACTCTCGTCAGTCCACGGTACTGGCGACAGATGAGCTTTGACGCATTTGCACCCGCAGAGCCACCAGTAGAAGTGAAGCCCCCTCGATCTGCGGCGTATAAAACGTCGACGTTTCAAAGAGTCGGTACGGAATGGCCTCTGGATTTTATTTTGCTAGCAATATACCAACTGTAGTACAGTACAAGTAGGTCTAGGAGTGACGTTTTGTTTCCTTGCATCCGGCATAGTGTTTGGCTTCGCAGCCCTCAAGCCCGTACTCATCGCCCGGGGGGTATACCACGAGCTCTGCGCCAAGCAACACTCTACATGTCCCGAACAAGACCTACGAATCAACCTTCTCTTCATAACGGCTTCCATAACGACCAACGTATCGAGCCTCTTTGCTGGCTACGTCCTCGACAAATACGATCGGCGAATATGCACCACCTTTGCCGCAACGTTCCTCGCCCTCGGCTCCCTATTTTTTATATTCCACCGCCACATTCGCTTTGTCGACCCCCTCATCTTTGCTAACCTTTTCTTAAGTCTCGGCGGAACTTTCCTCTTCCTCCCTACTTTCCAGTTATCCAACGCGTTTCCAAAGCACTCTGGCGTAATCGTTGCACTAGTGACATGTGCTTTTGACGCCTCATCTGCAGTATTCCTGATCTACCAAATCATCTGGAAAGCCACAAACGGGGCATTCACACCCGAAGAGTTCTTCACAGTGTATCTCTGCGTCCCGGCGGCTATCCTCCTCGCTGAATGGACCGTCATGCCCAAACAGCGATATCACACCATGCCAGAGCTGGAAAAGAAACTGGAGCACGCAAACGATTGCACTCGGGATGTACACATTTCCGATGACGAGGTGCCTGATGATTTGACCCTTTCCAGAATACGAAGCCAGCGCGCCGACGAACGCCGAGCCAGGATCGGGCAGATCGAGAGGGTGACGGGCGATGCGGAAGAGCGCCACGAACGAATCGAGCGAAGAACGTCGTTGCAGATCCATGATGAAGCATGGGGCATGTTGCACGGCCTATCTGTCAAGGATCAAATGCGAAGTCCGTGGTTCATTCTTCTTCTTCTCACCACGGCTCTCCAGATGTTGCGGGTGAACTATTTTATTGCCACGGTTACAAGCCAATACACATACATGTTGGGTCCGCAAGACGCGGACCGAGTAACAGCCCTTTTCAACGCGGCCCTGCCGATTGGCGGCATTGCTGCCACTCCTGCCATTGCAGTGATTCTACATACGCTGAGCGTTGCAGGTCTTCTGGTCTTGTTGACCGTGTATGTTGCCAGCATAGGGGTGCTGAACTGCGTCTCAGAGCCGTGGGCTGCATTCGCGACAGTCTTGCTTTTCGTGACATTTCGGCCGTTCTACTATTCTACTATATCGTAGGTCGTGTATCCCCCGATTAAAAGTTACCAAAAGAGGCTAATTCATGTGCGTTCAGACACATTGCCGCCAATGTCTTTGGATACGCTACCTTTGGCCGCGTGTACGGCACAATCATTTGTCTCTCTGGGGTGATTAACTTGACGCAGCCTGTGATTGATACAATTACAAATAAAATATTTCATGGAGATCCTGTTCCAGCGAATATTGCCATGGCTGCTGCAGGGACGGCGCTGGCACTTGTATTTACAGCGTTTGCTATCCGCAAGACTCGACATGTACATAAGCGGTCTTTGCGGCGGGAGAACGCGCCGTTGTTAGAGAGAAACGGGGTGTAAGGTTCCGTGGCTTGACTGTACTGCCCTTGGGGAATTTCCGGTGACGCGCCGGACACGGACGCGATCGCATCCTAGGTATAAATCTAAACATATCCACGATATTATTCTAGTCTTCCGCATATATAAGAATAGGAATGTAATTATAAGATACGTCTCGCTCTGTTTCCCAATGGTCAAGTAATCGAGGCCGGCTACCCTTCAGCTGTCATCTCCTAGGCGCGACTTACCTTCTCTTGATCATGCTCAGTGACTAGGTCAGTGACTAGGCCGGCCTTGTGGTAGAGCCGTGCGAATTTGAAGAGGCTGTTGCCTTTTATTTTGGGCTATAATTTGGTTAAATCTGCTCTGTGATCTCGTCGCTTCTTTGCAGGGAGGCCTAGACGAAAAAAAAAGCAAAACATTTGTCTAGTTGAACAACGCTGACTGATATCATCACCGAGAGTCCTTGGTAATGAGGTCATGAAGGTAATCGCGACTGGCACAACCGTTGCAGTTATTAATCAAACCTGCGTAGTGAATAAAGATTCAACAATTATATTTATAGCAAGGTAAGAGATCCAGCAATCAACCAAGGCACCTGAAAGAGGAAACTTGGGCTAAAGTCGAGACACAGAACCCTAACCCTAAACCCCCTTTGCATCATGAAGACTCTACTGCACCGTGGCAACAAGATACCACCGCCATCATCACCAAAAAAGCCAACGCGTAGTCACCAAATGGTCCCGTTACAAGGTGTATCGCAACGTAATATGATGCATTATAAATCACTCTTGCATTTAGTACATCTAATAATGCTCTATTCGCACTGTGGCAACCCTTCTAACTAATCTATCATGATCAATGTTTTATTCTTATTGGCTATTGCTTGGCTCTGCTTTTTTGAACCAACTTATCACCGTAGCGGATAAGAGCAAATGGAATAATGCCCATAAACAAGGACAAGAATCCCAACAACGATGGGGCCCAATGAATCCCCAGGTCTCTGTACATTGGCCTAGCAGCCAAGGGGAGAAGCACAGCTCCAATTGACCGAGTCACACTGGCAGCGGCATGTGCGGACGCGGATCTGTCACGGTAAATGTCTGTAATGTAGTTGATCATGGCGATGTAGAGCAACTGGGAACCTAGACCAAAGAAAAGGCCGCCAATCATCGGGACAATTGGGGCTATTGAGCCGGGCCAGGCAGTCCACCCGACCCAAAACGAGGAAATTACAAGCCTTGTTCATTTCATTAGCTCCGTGACACTGGATCAAGATTATATAGTGGTAGATACATACCATGGTGCCGCAAAACACGCTATAGGAAGCCGCCGATATACCTCTCGTTGAGTCCACTGTTTGCCAGCAGCACAAGCCTTATCATGCCACCAAGTATAGGCCAAGCCAAGAAGGAAAGCGATAAAGACGCCAACCAAGACTATATGTATTTGTTAGCACGGATGTTTTGTCAGTATGTTTGGCGAAAATTCCCAAAATCACATACTCGGCAGGTATGCTAGTCCAGCAACACCGGGAGAGAGGCCATAGTGATCTAAGTCTAATTAGTACTATTCAATGACGGAACATTTCCATTCAAGTTATGCCAGATCAATCAATCGCAGTAATGCAAGCACTAACCTTGGTAGATGATGGGATACGCCTGAAATGTGAGATACATGATAGCATACGCAAGGGCAATATACAAGGCAGTAAAGAGAAGAATCGGCTCCGTGGTGATGAGCTTGGCGGGACGGACGAAAACCTTGCGAGGATCCAAAACACGGTCATTCAAAGCAACATCCGCAGTACTTGCCACCCCCCCTTCTCGCCTGTCCTTTCGAACCGCTCTCCTGTACAGAACCGGCGCAAATGTCTCGGGCATCAAAAGCACCAGCGGCAGCCCGGGGAGCGCGATAAAAACGGCCAACAAAAACGGCCAGCGCCACGAGATCTGCGACGAAAACCCGGATATCAGAGGCCCCATCAGCGGACCCACGTTGGTCGCCGACATGTAAAGCGACATGGCGGTGCCCCGATGGGAAGGGTTGTCGAAAATATCCGAGTAGAGGCCGCCAATGACGCTGTGGGGGGCGGAGGCGCAGATGCCGCATAGAAGTCGGAAGATGACCAGCGCCGTGTACGAGGGAGCCACCGAGCAGGCTGCCATGAAGATGAGATATCCGACAAATGTGCTGATGAGGACGGGCCGACGGCCAAGGTACTCGCTCATTGGGCCGAAGAGGAGCGGCCCGAGTACATAGCCGGACATGTAAATGGAGTTTAATAGCACGAAATGGAGGCTGTTTGTGATGGAGAATTGCTTGGCTATGGCCACAAGGGCACCCGACGGCATTGAGGATCCCAAGTTGGTGTTGAAGGTGCATGTGATTCCGGCGAGGACGATGTGTATCTTGTGAGGCTGTTTCATGTTAGTTTGTGGGTAGTGATGTTTGTAACTTGGTGCTGACCCATGAGAATTTGGTAGGTTTGCGGACGTCATCTGCGTCGGAGGTAGGAATGGTAGGCGAGGTGAGGTTCTCGGCAACATTACTCGCGGCGAGCTCTTTGGTCTGGCAGTGTGCGCCGGGCTCTGGCATCCTGACGGGATCGGACATGTTCTTAGCAGAAGCTTTCACTGTAACACATATCAAAGTGGCATCATGATGAATCTATCCAGTCTGGAATCGTGATTCTTATAGTCGTCGCGGAAACTTGCCATATCCGACTCTCGGGGGATTGTCACTTACACTGTTCTTCTGTGATCCGATTTGGACATTCAAGCTTGGAACTGCCATTGGTCAGAATCGCCGACGTCGATTTCCTGATGGAGCTGGGCGATTGTGACGTGATGCTGATTGGTTGCTTCTGCCGACGGCAATTGAAAAATGTCGTCTGGTTCGCCGCAACTGCCGAGAATCCTTCCTGCATCGGTCGACTTCACATATTCCTGAATCCTGCAAACCCGCCGCCGCGCGACTCGTTGATGATAAAGGCAACTGTGTTCTCTTGGCGTTTTCCCGCTCGATGGAGCATGATCCAACTTGCGCCGACACCGGGGAGCCGAAGCGGCACGAGGCCCCTTTGCGCCCGGCGCAGCACAGTACGTACACGTATTCATATGGTTGATTGAAGACCCAGAGCCGTATTTTCACATCATCATATCTGGAGGTCCCTAACCATGATTTGCAGAAGGACGGGCTTGTGTGAGTTGCCATCGGCGAAAGGTGCGCTGCGATGTTGGCCGCACCGGAACCCCCTGCACAAATTGCAGCAACAAACGAGTGGTAGATTGCCAAATCTATGAGAAAAACAAAAAACCCAAAAGGTTGTACTCAGAACGCCCTCTGCGAACTCTCAGGGCGCGCGGTTCCAATACCGCCACCACTCAAGGCGTTGGGAGCCCTGAAACGCGCTCATCGTCAAGAAGCAGCCCCATGCGTGGGAATAACGATGCTCATCAACGGCGTACACCGCCGCAGGACGAACGGCTTGAACTAGAATCGGGAAACCTCGCAGATCTTGTCAGTGGGGAGGCTATCCGAACCGCACAGATCAACCACCAAAGCCGAATGTGTTTCATTGGATCTGAGCCATCCAACTTCAACTATCTAGTGCGGCAAACATCATCTCAGACAAGCCAGGATCGCATCTTCCACTTTAGCAATCGTCAATACCATCTCAAGTATACCGCTCACGACATCGATCGTATACCACACGAGGCCCTGGAGCGGCCGACAAAACCCCTCATAGATAAGCTGGTGCGAGCATACTTTGTACACATCAACCGTGGTTGGCCGATCGTTGACGAAGAAAACTTTCTCGACCAACTCGAAGAAAAGGACCCAAGGAACCCTCTATCTTTGCCGTTGTTCAATGCTGTGCTGTTGGTGGGCGCACACGTGCTGTCGTTCCAGGAGGACTTTGAACAAATGAAACAGCTTCAATCGGTTCTGTTTAGACGCACCAAAACACTGATAGACTGCCGGTTTGACCAAGACAGATTCGCCTATGTTCAAGTCGCCTTGCTCTTGACGTGGTACTCGGACGGGCTGGAAGAAGTGGTCGCCAATGCATGGTACTGGATGGGCACGGCAGCCCGTACGGCCACGGGGTTGGGAATGCATCGCGACACAACGACATCCAGGTTACTCGACGTACACAAGCGCTCCTGGGTCCGCGTATGGTGGGTGCTGTTCCAATTCGACACGCTGATTTCGCTGTCGTACGGGCGCCCACAATCTCTGTAGGTTGCCGTCCTGCCACCCCGTCCGAATACCACGTCTAATGCTCTCCTAGAAATCTCGACGACTGCGATGTTCCGGACCTAGAGTATGCCCATTTTCAGGGCATTAGCCAACCCGAAGCAGACTTTGCCATTCACCAAACCCGTCTTTGCGTCATTATATCGCGGACCTTCAGACAGCGCTGGGCACTGCGAGCGTCGAGAGAGCAGAGGACGAGGGCGGCGGAACGGGCAGACCAGGCCCTGGCGAGTTTTATAACGGAGCTGCCTGCCCCCTTGCAAATGTCGCTTGTAAATGCCGGGACGTGGCATGCCGTCCTCCACCTGACGTATAATAACTTTGTTCTCCTGCTCCACCGGCCGCCGCCAAAGCATAAAAGCCATGACCGGGCATCACAGCCCGCTGGCAACCCGGACATTTGCGCAGAGGCCAGCATGGGTCTCGTTTCTCTCCTAGAAGGCCTCTATTCGACGCGTCGGCTCTACGCTCTGTCGCTGTTTGACGTTCAGGCCATCTTCACAGCCGTTGTCGCGGCCAACAACGAACTCAGCACCAGCAACCCCCTCGTCGTGGTCAAAGCCGTACAGAAGCTGAAATCCATCTCTTCTACCTTGACGGTGCTGGCGCGCAACTGGAGTTTTGCCAGGGGGCTTTTACGCATATTCGACTCGAAGGGCGAGTTGACGCTCAACAAGGGGAGGAGGGAGGCTGCATCGGATCCAGCCTCACACGGCCACGAGTGCGGCAATAGATGCCATGATGCTCTTGGCAGTATGAGCGGCAGCCAGGCTGCCGTCAGCTCTGCCCAGGAGACGGGTCAAAACGGAGGGGTGTTTGCCTCGGCCATTACCCCGTCGGAAACGGCGCACAATTCGCCTGGTAGCCTCATTGGTGACGATGGTGTACCGTTGGGTAACCCTCTCGACGATTTTGTATTCCCGGGCGCATTTGAACTGGAGGACTTTTTGCTCGGCGTGGACAAGGATGGCGTGTATTTTTGATGAAAGATACATCATTGTCATTTGGTGACCTCGCTGGGTAATGGGTCTTGCTGATTCGGACCGAGTGCATCCCTGAGCTGGATGTAGTATATAGCATGCTCTTGGTCACATGCTGAGGGGTTGAATGCATTTGCAAAACAAGCATAATATACGAATTGCAATTGTCATTAGGGTGGCGGATGAAATGATGTTTGTGAGTTCCGCTGTCCTCCCGGAGTATCCCTTGGAGAGAACATATTGTTAGATGCACTGCTGCTCTCTGCGCCGCGGTTCCAGTCAAGGGTCCTTTGTCAACTTTTAAAAACCCTACTACGTCTTTGTTCCTGCTGGCATGTAGTTCGATATCTGCATGTCTAAATTTGACGAGGAGTCTTCTACAGCCCCCGGAGCCAACTTGAAAGAACCAACTCCAGGTGAAACTCATGCTATTACTCCGCAGTACATGTCATTTTTATTTTTAGTATTTTGGGCTGTGAATTCTCTACAGGTTTCACAAAACCGCATAAAGCACTGGACTGGCCCCATTTCGGATCTCAGATCATGCAAGGGAGCAGTCTGATACGAGCCGCTTCCGGTCGTGCATCTAGTCCAGTATCTTCAAGTGGCTTACTTGGCATGCAAGTTGGGGACACTGTCGCAGTTGGACAAGTAAATAAGGCTGGGTCATGCATTCGAATACCCCGTGGGGGCAGAAACGCGACATTCGACGCGCCTGCTGGAATGTACATGCCACAAGCATGTACACGCAGCCCTAACAAACTTGCCACACCCGCCCTTCTATATCATCACAAGCAGCTCGTGGGATGTTCCCGTGTTATTGCCATACTTGGAGCGCCCGACTTCTCCCCCGACTCGTAGCGAGTTGCCATCGCCACCGGAGAAGTCATTCGGTAGCAGTAGCGATACGTCTGCACAACGACAACTAATCACGAGCCTTGTATAGCATAAGAGACAAACTTGCGGGCAACATGCTCTGGAACCGGGAGGAGAAGCAACAATGAGCCCAACTTCGATTGCTTCTTCTCGAAGACAAGCGGCGCGAATCTGTGCAATCTCTTCGCGTACCGCGTCTGCAGGATGAAGCCGATGAGGCGAGTGCCAACGTGGTTGTCGGGCCTATTGTGAAGTCAACATTGAATAGAAAACAAACACGGCAGATGTGCCGCCGGAGAAAGTCTCACACTCTGCCTGGAGTGCTTTCTTGCCAAGTCATTGGCTCAGTTTGACCAGCCACATTTCAACAATCTGCCAGGGACGGCCGAGACTGGCGATGGCTTCCCGGCTTCACTCCATGGAATGCCGGCTCTGCAGGAGTTAGTTGTCTTGACAATCGGCCCCAAGAGACAACATGAACCGCCACAACGGCCGATGCGCCCGCCGTCAAGCAGAATTCTCCTGCTCCCCCCGGCCCGAGTATAAAAGCCCGGGCTGATTCACGTCTCCCTCTGCAGCCCCCCCTTCCCAACTCGTCATTTCGTAGCTCCTCATTTCGTCTCGGCCGCTTCGCACAACCAGCGCCAATGAAGTTCATCACTCTCACCATTGCAGCCGTCGGCGTCGCCGCCCTACCGCAAACTCTCCAGGCCCCTGCTGCCTACACGCCATGTGGCGCCCTAATAAATAACTGCTGCAAGATGGCGCCGGGGCCCAACGCCGCCAAGTTCATGGACTGCAGTGTTCGTACGTGTTTCGTCGCAACTGGAGCTGTATGACGCGACTAACGAGCTACATAGTCCCCGGCCCCTTACCAAATTACGTATACTTTATACAGAGCTGCGCGCCCTCTTATAAAATCCCGTCGTGCTGTGCGGAAAAGAAGTCGTCGAACTTGGTATGAAGCGATGCATCGCGAGGCGACGCGCACGTCATGACTAACTTCTCTTCGCAGATTGAAGGCTTTTTCAACAATGTTCTGGGCACCAATCTTGGAGAGTCCCAGTGTGTTCTCCCTCCTCCCCAACCGTAGTCGACATGTTGCGGCGGTTTGGGTCTGATGGGCAAGATTTCGAGTCGAGCGTTCAACAACTGGTTTGGAGAAGGCAGCAATTTACGGTAATTATAGATATCTAGACAACAATGAGTCATGTTCCAATATAATGTTTGCAATACGGAGCGAGTTGAAGTGAGCATATATACTAGCCATATCATCTGCTCGCAACTACAACCAATGGCCGTCGAGTAGAAATATTGAATTCGGCGCCACATTTCATTGCGCCTTGCATTGTCGACCGCAAGCGGGCCCTTTACCCCATTCTCATCATGTTGGACTTTGCTAAGTGGAACAAAAAGAGATGTGATTCAATTATTAATATATAAACGTGCTGCTCCGTGTCCTTTAGAGTTGGCAGACAGTGCCGCGAGTCAACTCCTTCCTGGTGATGGACACCAAGTTGGACCTTGGCGACTGGTAGAAAGATGATGCAGTATGTAGAGGGTAATAACACATCAAAGATATGTGGCGTGCCACGCCCATTCTTTGGTGGGAAAAAAGACCTCGTAGTTTCTATAACGAATTGATTCACTTTTCATCCCGGTGTAACCTCATTACTTGTGCTCAATTGGCCATCCTCACACTGGGAGACGTCTCTCAGGATCGCGTGTGGGCTGGCGACGTGACCAAGTGCCCATCTCGCATTCATGTCTACTTAGATGACATACTGTGCCATGTTAGCGGGTACTTTATAAAAGCGAGAGCAATGACTTACCGGGATGAAAAGGTAGGGCACTTCCTTCTCATACTGCTTCCATGCATCACCATACTTGCGTCGGCACCGCTCGATGTCCCTCATGGCACGGTGGATAATCATGACCATGAAGAAGACCGAGTAAAACCAGGGGAATGGGCTCCTGCGCAAAGAGTCAGCCGCTGCATCATCATGTTCTCGCACACGACAGAACCTACTTGAAGCCGGTGATCAATCCCCACGAGAATGAAAAGAACATGTCCGGCACATAGTTTGGCTTTCTAATTATACCAAACCAGCCGTCAATCAAGATGCGCTCGCCGGCCTGAGTTTCCAGAGTTCGAGGATTCCTGACTATTTGCCAAGGAAGTTGAGGGAAGGTGTTGCGCTTGGTCAGCTTGCCCTGACGCTCCATCTGACGGAACGCGTTCTTCTGGCTGTTGGACGTGTCCCACATCCAGTACATGAAGAGGTAGACGACGACGAGGGCGGCCAGAGCATATCGGTTCCAGCGGTACTCGGAGGGGTGGTGGTTGGCAAAGTAGATTGCGCAGTGGCAGTAGCTAAACGGCACGCCGGCCATGTTCCAAAACGTGAGCATGAAGCCGAGTTTCTCAAAGTACATGTCCCTAGCACAGGTTAGCACGCGTGTTCATGAATGCGTCGGACGGGCGTCGTACCAGCTTGAAGTGATGAGTTCTTCTCCCTTGGCACATGCGTTGGCGTAGAGATAGTGTGCCATGACGAGAAACAGCACTTCTGCAGAGACGTATCCATACGTGTCGTATTGCTTCGCCGCGGTGCCGCACGAGATCAGAAACAGAATAAACCACGGGATACGAACTTCATAAAACATCTTAAAGTCGAGGATGCCGATGCGAGGATTCAGCTCTGCGCCCATGAAGAAATCGTAAATGGGGTGTCCTGTAAGGCGGTGCGTGTTATTGCGAATAATGGCTTGAAAGTACACGATGAAGCTATTGATGAACCCGGACAGAATAGCTACCGTCATGATGGAACCAAACTCATCCACAACAGTATAGAGAGGAAAGACGTCTGTGAAATGCAGGGCGGCGACAATGACAATGGTGGCGTAGAAGCTGGTATAGGCCGAGCAAAAGTACGGCAAACGCTTGAAGTTCTCGTGTGGCAAGGGCCGTCCCTGCATGGACACACCAGGCATGTAGCAGTACATGAGCATCTCGACGACAAAGAATACCCAGTAGATGGCCCAGGCTTTGACGGTAGGATAGGCGCCCTCGTAGACGAGATTGACGAGGTGGTGGGCAAATTCGGCCCAAGTCTCGTTTTCCTTGGGCAAAGGCATTTTGCCATTGTAAGATGTTGCACCAATCCACATGTACCACATGAGGATGGGGAATCCAATCATGAGTCCGAGGGCGCCAAGAGAGCCGCCAAACTCGAATTCTTCAGATTGGCCATCGTTGAAAGTGGTTGTCTCCTTTTCTTGCTTATCGATGGTTTCGCCGTTGGAGTGGCCGTTGACTCTGGCTCGGAGGCTCATTTCGTCGGGATGGGGATGAAATGGTTGCGATGTGAAGTTGAAAAAAAAAAACCAAGGGGGCCACCGACTACAATTATTCAAGTCATTCCATGATTGGGTATAAATACCTGTGAAACAAAACAGCCCAACACAGCCTGTTATCTCGAGGAAAGAAATTACAGTGTTGGACAAAAGCAAAACAATGCAAACCCAAGCGAGTGGTCACCTTGACTTATCAAAGTGGACCAAGAAATTTACAGCGAGCCAATCGGCATGGTCTGCATGGCCCCAGTGTGACAGCTGAGATCCTCTGTTCCTAAAATCAGTCAAAATGAGCGAGGTGATGTTGCGAGGACCGTCAAAAGGGGTTAGCGCCGTCGTTTGTTTTCCTTCCAGTCCCATCACAAATAAGGAGAGAGGAAAATAACAGCGAGCGATATTCCAACCTTGCCATCTTGATCTTGTTCACCCAGAGTCCCTGCTGGCGAAGCGGTCATCGTCATGAAATCAGCCGACAGAACTCGCACCAAATGCTTCACCGGGTGCTGGACCTGTCGTGCACGCCGTGTAAAATGCGACGAGTAGGTTCTTCGCCGCGCCTTGGATGCAGGAGAATCTGACATGGCAAAGAGAAGCACCATCATGTCGACGTTGTCGGCAATTCGGCGTCCAATGCGAAGGATACGGTGTCCGCTTGAACTGGGTACATCTGAATACATCGAATATCCTTCACGAGGCCGACCATGACGCTGATACTAGCTCATTGCACAAGACGCCGCGACGAGCTTTGGCGCACTTGGGCGTTTCATCAATCCCACGGCTTCCATCCCCAGAAGTCGACGTAGCACTATCATACATCGACGAATGGTCTCCTGGATTAGACAGACGACTCGACCAAGGAGGCTTCTCCGTATTCGCCATCGATTCTGTCCGGTCGGGAACCTCTGACCTGGCGCTCCCGACACCGTCTGACTCGGCGTACCGGGACACTGCGGATCAAACTATCGACGACGGAGGGGATTGGATCCCATCATCAAGCACAATTAGCCCCTCTGCGTCAGAGACTCGCCGTGTCAGAGATACCGTGCCCGTCGCACAAACGCTCCTAAGCCTCTCAAACAACGACTTCAACCGACCGTCAACTCCCGCCGACACCGTCCCCAAACAGCGTCGAAAGCAGCCGAGCCCAGGAACCCCCCGCCACTTGGACGCTCTGTCCATGCCATCGAGTCAGAAAAGGCTGATACATCACTGGGTGACCTTTACCAGCCGCAAGCTCGTTCTCATTGACGAGCCGCACAACCCCTGTCGCATCATGATGCTGCCCATGGCCCTCAGAGGCCTCATGTCCAACGCAAAAGAGTCAAACTCCAATGTTGTCATTTTCCACGCTCTCTGCGCCTCCGCCGCCAGCAATCTGTACGAACTAAGCGACCGCATCAATGAGCAAGATCGTATGCTTGCCCTCAACCATGAGCAACAGGCCATTTGCCATCTACGCAGCAACCTAGCACAGGCAGACAACCACCAAGACCAGTCGTTTGCCATGGCTATCATGGCGTGCATCACGGCGGACGCCATCTCGGGGATGACTAGCCGGTGGCGGGCGCATGTCACTGGTGGTCTGGCATATCTCGCAAAACTCCACGCTCGAGGGCTGGACGAGGCTGTCGTGGCCGCCTTCCAGAGACATATGGTTTCAATGGCCATTTTGTGCGAGGTTCCTGTCCCGAATGACTTGAAGGCGTTCCTCGACGATGAAACTGCGTCTGAAGGCCTAGAATTTACGTTTCCTTACTATGGGGTGTCGAGGTCGTTTTTGCGAGCATACGATCGCATGAATTCGCTTGGGGACGTGGTGAATGATCCGAGTCCAGAATTAGAGAAGGAGCTGGATATATTTCAGCTTCAGCAGTACCTCAATTTTCCTACTTTGCCTCCACAGGAGATATTGGCTCCTTGCCAAACCCACGGCTTGGTGCTTCATCACACGGCCAAAGTCTTTTATTACGCGGGGCTGGTGTTCTTTCAGCGCAGTATACGGCGTGAGGCGCTTGACACGGTCCAATCTCTCGTTGAGCTAGGTATACAGGAACTCGAGTCGATTGAGAAGGTTGGCAGGGGTGAATTGGGCTGCATGATGTTGTGGCCCGTAGTTGTGTTGGGCGCAGAGTGCACGGGGGCGGTGCTGCAGAATAGAATGCGTGTGTGGTTCAGGGGTCAACGTAAACTTGGGTTTCGGAACCTTGTGGTGCTTCATGAAATGATTGAGTCAATATGGACGACGAGAGTAGCGTTGGCTGGGGCTGACAGAAATATAGACTGGCGGGACATTATCGTCTCAGATGAATTTGATGTATTCAGGCTATAGCACTGGTGGCAATATGGCCGCAAATAAAAAGTAATTTACAACACATGAAATGCCTTACCATTTTGCCCTACCGCGGGTACCCGAATAGTGATACCCCCAAATGCCTTGGAGGGGTATGCTTCAATCGGTAAAAGCAATGAATCTATGTCCATTGAACATATTGCTGACGTGCTTTTGCACTTTCTCGAATCGCATATACGAGCAAGATTCGCTTTCCAGGTGATTAAACAACCCACCCAACGAAACAAACTCCTTGTCACATGCGCCTTTCTTGTTGGGGCAATGATATATCTTGCCTTTATGGTGTGGCGAATTCAGGTGCATGTTCAATCCATTGATGGTACTGAATTGGCCGTGACAGATGTAGCACTCCCACGCAGAACCATTCCATGCAAGACGGTTTGCTTCGTAGGTGATTTTGACGCTTGACTCGTTCTGCCACTCGATCTGCTTGTTGGTAATGGTCCCCTGGGGGTCGCGCTTTCGAACCATTGACAGTATGACCTCTCTGTTCACCGTGGCTGCCTTGGGGCATGATCCAGACTCCAAATGGTGGCTGAGGCCGCTTGCAGTGGTATATCCCGTCCTACAAAATGGGCATTCGACGTTGTGTCCTCGGTGGACGTTGGAGTTCAGGTGCTTTGGTCCCATTAGCTTACATGTGTGCAGTGCTTTCCATGATGGGGGAAGGAACTGACCATTCTGAGACCGTTTGCGTTCCCAAAATATCTGTCGCACTCCAGGCAGTAATTCTTGAAGTGGCCCTTGGCTTGCATGTGCTGCTTGGCAGCTCTCTCGGAGTAGAATTCCGAGTCGCAGGTCTCGCAAAGATATGTCTCTGCCCAGTGATCTAGTGCATCCATATGCTGCTCGGCAGCATGCCAAGATCCGAATTCCCGGGTACACGTCTCACATTCGTATAGCGGCGCCCAGTGGTCTAGTGCGTCCATGTGTTGCTCGCAAGACCGGTAGCTATAGAACACACGTGTACAACTGTCACACTCGTACATTGTGCTGATGATTGTGGAATCGCAAAGGGGAGCTTGTCAGAGGTGGCCAGCGGGAAGTCGAATGGAGATGGTGTGACTGCTCAGAACTCTGGGAGGTGTGTGAAATCAACTCGAACATCGCCAAACGAAAAACTTTTCACATGTATGCGTTGGTGATGGAAAAGAAAGAAAAAAAATACTGACTGGTACCTAGGTACCTGTCAGAGAAGGAAGGCACTGCTGAAATGCCCGACCTTGTGACACTTGGCATTCAAAGATCACGTGTACCCTAAGTCTGTTTGCCAGCTTTGACCTGATGCTTTGACAGTTGACACCAGTTGTAAAAAGATTATCCAATTTCTTTCGATGCTATGATATTCGGAGAAGGAAAGCTCTCGAGTGTCCTCATGCTTCGACCCACGAGCACCTACTTGACGCTAGGAGGAAGGAACCTGTTAGACGGAAAAGGCCCAACAGATCGTGAGGCCCAACAAAGGGGCTTCGCCGATAGAGGATCTGTTGGTTACACAACTTGAACACGTGCCCGGGCAAGAACTCTAGGCCCGGGCGTTCCTTTTATGTATATAAGGCGGTCACCCTTCTCTTCCTCTCTCGTAGCAACTCAAGACCTTAGAGATCCTTCGAGATTATGATTGAATTGAGCCCTTTTGCTCCAAGCCTTCTATAACGAACCCTTGTCACAGAACCACTTGTAGAATATGATGCCAGATGTAACAGACGCAAGAGTAATGAGGCTTTTTATCTGAGAACGACAATAGCCATGGGTATTCATTCTACGTTGTAGCATTACGCCCCGGAGTTGATCGATTGGGCTGTATATAGAAACTATTCCCACAAGGCTATCTTAGTTTGGTCTCTTTATATAGAACCGTCCAACTGCGATAGACATTATTGAGAATAGAAATTCCGCATTTATTAGAGCATCTTTCTCTTGGTGTCAATAACACAAATAGGTTATCAAAAACGCTACAAGTAGAAGCAGTAGAAGCTCAAGCCCTGCCATAAAAGTATAGCTGTTACATCCCCTCATATCTAGTGTTGTACAACTATCACGTAGTTTGGAGCCTCAAGACGCTGCGTGCTAATGTGCATTCCTTGCCTCAATCCAGACTACCTTTGCTACACAAAATCACAGGCATCTTAAAACCCTATCATAGTCAATTTTCACTATTATCATTCAACTTTTTTATCACTGTCAGACATGTAGATCAACAGCACCACGACTATTGGTTCTCCAAGGTTAAGATAGTACTGAGATTTCCATTCCAAATTGGTATATAATACATCTCTACTTCCCGATTGCTGGCAAGTAGTACACCCACTGATGGGATGTTAAAATGGGGCCATAAAGTCGCAAACGCCACCTACATGCGACTTTCTCGGTAAACACTCCAAGTTGTGGATTTATGCCCTTTCCATCAAGCAGTCAAATTTGCATTCTATGCTCTAAATTGTAGGTCGCTAACGATATAATCCGACTGTATATTCTGCGAGAGAAATACAAAAAGTAGTGTTACATGAAGGTCAGGTCACATTGCGGCACGGACTGTCCCTTGAAGCTGACGATAGTAACACAAGGGCAGTGCAATAGTTTATATAAATAAGAGTCTTCTGCCTCAGGGACCTTGAGCGAAGCCAAGGGCGCTATACTTGAAAACAAGTTACTATATTGAATACGACCGCCGTTCCAAGTCATCATACATGGAGCCCTTGTCACGAGAATGCTGCAAATTTCACTTAACCCTGACCCCACAGAGATAGCTTCGACTACATAATTTTATTTTCTAGTAAAGTCCATACAAGATAGATTGAATGCTTCTAGTTATATCGCTACAGCAAGTTGCCTTCAACAAGCGACCTGGCCATGATATCTTACATCGTATTAACCGCCTAGGAGCTCGTGTAACAGCAGCCCAGAATATATGCCAAGATTACAAGTTCGCACCAGAGGGCGCAATCAGCTGAGAGGCGATATTCTTATCCGGATCAGGATCGCTAAAGGCCCGCAAAACATTAAGGCGTTTGTCGGACCTAGGCTGTACATTATACACATGCACGCCGTAGGCCGACCCCGACCCCTTGTCATCCCACAAGCTCGGCGATTCGTAAGCAGAGGGCTTCACGAGATCAGCTCGCAGACACCAGATAACATCCTTGTTAGGCTCGGACCAGCTATTCTGGACAACATCGCCGATGCACTTGTAGCCCTCGGGCGCCGTAGGTCGCCAGAATGACCCGTCACTGTTGGCACCGCTCCAAAGGTCTCTCCATATCCGGTTGAAGCCAACGGGGCTCGCAACGACTGGCTTGCTGGGAGTTCGTCCGGGGGTAGGCGCGACGAGGACTGCCGTCAAGTGGCTGTTGATGTCGTCGTAGTTGGCAACGCCCACGCTACCCAGGGGCCGCAGCTCTCCTTGAGCCCGGGGGAGCCAAAAGCTGGCTCCCCTGGAAGCACCGGTGCCCCTGTCGTCCCAGACCCGGACGAATTCCGTCGTGTTCTGAACCGTAAGATCGCCCTTGATGTCCTTCTAGACGTCTGTCGTTAGCGCTCTACTCGCGGCCGAGCGTAGGGCATACTCACTAATCGTGGTCTCCATTTTGCGTAGAAGGCCGTGTCAAATAGCTTTATAAGCTCCTTTGCGGTTTCTGTGCCGTTATTGGGCGTTGCGGCTGTGTTTTGCACCTGGCGCTTGATATTAGTAGAATGTACTGATTTGGCATTTTGACTCGAGAAATACCCATGTCTTGCAAGCCTCGACTATGGCGAGCTCGTCCCATAAAATCTGATCCCCATCCGCCTGATTCAAAACCTTGCCTGTGTTGAGACGTTAGATGGTCATATAGATAATGTCTACGTTGAAAGGGAGGGCAAGGCATCCTACTTTTTCGCAGGACTTGTGCCAGTTCTGAAATCTTGACGAGTTCTGACAGAACACGGTAAGATACCTTTTCTGCCGTGGAGTAGTCTAATACGGCTTGATTCTCGGGGAAGCCCTTAACGTTTGGATATTCGTCAAGAAGGGCTTGATACTTGTAATTGTGTTTGCAAGCCTCGGTCAGGAAGAGGTCTGCCCACGATTTGGCGTTTGCAAACACCTGTTGAGCAGGCTGCTGATCGCCGCTTGTCGACGCTGACTGGCCCTGTAATTGCTTGCCAATCTCGCCTTGATAGAAGATGTCAACCTTGACGTGGGCCTGCTTATTCAACTTTTCCATGCTCGATGTTACTGCTGTGTTGACTTGGCCTGAAACACCCCAGAAGGCCAATGAAGCCTCGGCGCTAAACGAGCGGATTGATTAGGAATGTGCGGCCTTTGCATTGTAGACTGTAAGACGTACGTTGCTTTTAATTCTTCTTGATTAGACCTTTCTTTGGCTGTAAGGGATATTCGAGCAACTAATTTGGCGCCCATCTGGAACCCTAAACGGCTATCAGCTTTACCCTCTGGCTGTGGTGTTGCGTAAAAATGCCAATTCGACTTACCTCGGATCCACCGGTCTCCAAAGGTCTTTGCAAATGATGAATTGGAATAAAGGTTCGTGTTGAATGCAAATTCCTCACCAGTGTTGATCTGTTTTTTTATATTGATTATAGCCATATACGTCAACGTATTTGAGGCGAACCTTGACTTATCAAGATAACTGCTTGATGCGGATGCTGTCTGGTCATAGCCGGAAATGGTGGCAGAAGCACTCACGTCAAGAACCTTTAAATAAGACTCATAGTCAGATATAAATTCGACAGAGGCGTCAATTTCGGCAGGGCAAGATGCCGCGGCATTTCGCTTGACGTGAGCTACTCTGTGGTTGATCCCGTTTTGGTTGTCCTCATTCCGCTTATACATGGGTTCGTCAAACATTTTTGGGTCGGGTGCGATGAAATATGAGTCCAAGTCCACGTCAAACATCTCTACACTTAGTCCCTGAAAATTGTTCGTTTCTCGACTAGTTAGGGTGTTTGACGCAGACGTCTTTGGGATTCCATTTTCGGGAGGCGCGGCTTTGACGCTGGAAAACTGGACAGCCCCGTGTTTTACCCCTTTGCCCAGAAAGGTGTTGAAGCTAGTGTAGTGTTAAAACCTTCCAGGTCTGAGACAATGATACGGCTGACGGCAGTACTGTACCCTTCTCCAACAGTCATCAGGTCGCCATACGGCACGCTCCGTGCCAGTAAGGGCCCAATGTGCAAGGCTGACCAAGCAAGCACTACAAAGCACCAGCGAGGCTCCATCATTGCGGGAACAGGTCGTTTTGTTCAAGATCGTCAAGCAACGCGAGAATTGTACTAGATTGATGATTTGAAATGAGAGTATAGGCGGTTAGACACATAGAACCAGATCGCAATAACAAGAGCTTGTTGAGATGTCCTCAACGGGTGTGTATGATTGACTTGGCATATATTATATACTTGACCAAATTTCGAACTCTCTCCGAATTTCCCGAATTGGAAAATCTCATTTACGTCATGCCACTATTATACAGGCACGGGTTTTATACTGTCAAGTCTCCGCGGGTACTCCACACGATCTATTCGAACTCTCCTTGTAATACGGGGTGGGTCGGGCAATGGGTGTCTGGGCGTAGTATATCTGTTTCTCCGGATTCTATATTTCACTCGAGGCTTGGTGATACAGAGTGCCTAGTCACCGACTCAGCTATGTGCTAACTGCTAACCTCAGCCGGCGGTATCCTAGCCAGTAGAGCCTACATGTATTCTTTAAATCAGTTATGACTGCAGCTCTCATTTCTCGCAGTATCACCATCAACAGAGACTTTGATAGCGTAGCGTTCGGCTCATATAACCCCGTATCAGTATTCGTTCTGCTCGCCCAGTTACTCGGAGACGCAACTTTGCGCTCGAAAAGGGACCTTCCCAGATTGGTAGAGACTCCACCTCGCTTGGAAACTAGCCGCTCACTCGTCGAGGCGTTTGGTCTGTCGCCTGCTAAGCCCCCTTCATGCAGGGGTTAATTCAAACCGCATGGTTTATTCGTGGCGTTATCCTACCAATTCCATCGTCAATTGATCACATGCCCAGCCAGATTCGATGGTAACAGTGCTTCTCTAGTCTTAGCTTTTCATGCTACTGGACATAGAGCTAGCCGAACAGGCAGAGTCGCCAAAGCTACAATATATATGAGGGAGTGGGCCGTCGGGCAATCTATTAGAAATATAAATATACAGCCTCGTAAGGCCCGACGGGCCAGAAGTTATTCGTCCCTAGCGTTGTCAAACTCATCAGCAATCAATTGCATTATGTCAAGCTTCAGTCGGTGCCATATGGCGCCCGAAAACTCCCCTGTAACCCGATATAGGTTATACCATCTTTAACCGCAAACAGCTCCGTGTGCATTATTCCCCTTTGGATTGGCGATTATGCTCTCCAATCTCCGATCCTTGGTTTTATTTACAGATCTCGTATCTTTTAACACGTATATATTGTATGCTTACGATCCATGACGTGTTAGTTGCAAATACTATAATTAGCACACCCTACTGCTGCCTTTATATTGGCACACAAGATTTCTATTACAAGAGCCGGCGCATTTTGTGCTCTTTTCGTAGCAGCAAGAACAATTGAGCCGAGGGTTGTTGGCGGTGACGATGCCACGGATGGCTACAGGCGCACACAGTACCTAGAATCCAGCCGTTTTGATTAATCGAAAGGTGTCATTTCTAGTGTTCAACTACATAAAAGACTTCAGTCCCGTAGCTCAAGATATTCAATCCAGTACCAATCTACTATTCAATTCAATTCATAGCTACCAATGGAGACAAACTGGAATTGATCGCAGTTTTGGGGAGAATGGGCCGCTACAAGTATGACAGAAACGCCCCATTATGCTTTGGAAGAAGCGAGTTGAAAGCCAATTTTTTAAAGTGTCTTGTTGATCAGCAAGTATGTGCATGACCGAAAATTAGAATATCGATTGTGTTAAATTTATTTCATCTTTAGGCGCCTCAGTGTCAACCTAAGCCACTAGGTAGAGAGGCTGCATGTCCTTGTCTGAGGTTCTTGAAGTGAAGCAACGGGTAGTAGCCATGGTAATTTACGTCAATACTTTAATCAATCAAAAATTGCATTGTGGGCCAACTGACTACAAACAACTAGCAGCATATTTCCGTCAACGCCAACAAGGGAACTGCTCCTGGTGTTGAAGCAGTCGGGGCCTCCTGTGCAAGTCTACCAAAGTCATGCTGACCTTCCCTCCTCGCCAACACCGACACAGGCGTAGTAGTTGGCCCAGAGCCCATCGCACTTGGGGCCGACATAAGCGTTCCAAGCGATAAATTTCTCAGTGGTGATGCCGTTGTTTTTCGCTACGGAATCGCACCAGGCACCTGGCGGAACCCAGCAAAACTTGTTACAGTTGGACGCCATTGGGGTCCGCACCGGACTTGGGGTTGCAACACCTGGGTATCGGCCTGTGAGACACGTAGCCTATGCCGGACAGCCAAATCAACGTAACTTACTAGCTTTTGAGCCCGTGGTTGCTTGGGTTGTGTGCTGATCCAAACATCCAGGCCATACGTCGCGCTTGACGTTGTCGTTCACTTCCGGCTTCAGCAAGTTGGTTAGTTGCCGCATTCACCCATACATTACGGATGGGTCGTCGAGAGAATACTCACAGTCGCAGTCGCTATGGCAACTAATTGTGCGGTGAGCATCAAGATTTTGGTGTAGCCAAGCATGGTGGCAGTTGGTGAACAGGAATAAAGGTAGATGCGGGTAAAAACGTCGTTGAGGAGTGCTCGTTGTGCACCTGGGTTTTACACTCAAAACCATTCTGCTGGATACGTTTATCAATGCAGAGAAATGGAGTCCTATTTGTACCTCTGGCATCGCCTCTTGCGGTTCAATGTCTGGCTATCGAGCCAACAGAGGATTGTCATCTCCACACCAACACCTGAAACCCCTTAAAGCAGAATATTGTCATACCATAGCATCTGTGGTACATGTAAGTCAGCATTACTACGTACATGCCAACGCTCAAACATGGTTGGACCGTCATTCCTAAGAAGGTCTCGGCACCCATTCTTGTCTCATACATGACCTGACATGCATGAGCAGTAATACTCTGTATTCAACATGCACTTCACTCCATTAGGACGGGCCAGCTCGCAGTAGAGCCGCATTCAGGGACAGGGAAGACGTAGATGGTGCCTCTCGCAGCTGGTGCCACTCTGGTTCAGGTGCGGCCGGGCCGCGCGACCCATCGACATGCCTCCTCAAAAGCCATCGTAACAAGTCGCAACCGCTGGTTATCGACGAGCGTTCCATGATTACCAGCACGCAATTTTCGTCCGGCGGCAGAGTATCGGTGTAGCTGTGTTTCTTTAGTACGTTGCGAAACAACTGTAAACCCATTGAACATTTATTCCATACCAGGATGAGTGACTGGGGATTCTCGTAGCTGTAACGCCATGGTGTGGACATCGGCCCCACGGTCATGGCTTGTGTGTAACTACCGTAATCTCTTCGAATCGTTTTCCAACTCATTTCTTGCTTGAAACGTTTCGAAATTCCGTCCTTGATTGTAGAGGTAGGAATTTCGGACAGCTTCTTGATGTTTCCTTGGACCGCGGTATCGATAATGGTCTTCCCCGAATAATACTCGAAAACACCGACCTCAAAAACGAAACTCCGAATCAAGACAAAGCAAGCGGGCACCGGGTAGCTTGCCATCCGCAATCTTGTCTCGCACATCCAGGACCTTCCGGAATGAAGGGCTGTAGGACCAGGGATGTTGCAACGCTTGGTCAAAGGTATTCTTGAACCTTCCAATGATGCAATTGGCAACCGCTTTTCGGTCGTTCGCAGCCAGCGAGAGACCTGAAATACAGAACTGTGGCCCAGAACACGGCTTTTCGAAACAGGTGCGGTGGCTGCAGTGTTCCTGCTGGGACGCCAGTCTCGTCAACCCAAACTTTTCCAACTCTCTGCTAATCATGATCGCAGTACTGCACGAGACACAGCGCGATTCTAACCTGAAATAGAATCTTGATTCTGAAACTCTTGCAGATATATGGGCGTTGTGCTCTCCTCGTGTGGCGTTATAGGGGCAGAGCTCTTGAACGAAGCCGCCTCGGGACGAATGCGAGGGCCAATACACGTAGGCGCCTTGATTGCTGCGATCTGGGGTATGACCTGCGAACCTTGCTAGAGTAAGGTGTTTGTTATGAAGTCCAAGTAGGCGTCGGTCGCGGAGGATGCAAGCCTCGGATACTGCTGTCCATAGCTTGGGTTTTCTCGCTGCGCTTGGCCGACTCGTCGTCAAGTACCATATCTTTCGTGAGCCATGGAAATACCTTCTTATCATTATCAGCGTTGACGACTTCGGCTTCCTCTATGCTGATATTATTCACTTTCAACGACATTTGTTATGCCCGCCAATGATTTCTGAGATGTCGATTGGTGTGGTCTCTTCTTCCAGGTCTACCAAATCCCCACGTTCTCTGCGGATCCTCATGGTTCTCTATGGACCTCTTCGTATAAGGAAAGCGAGCGATGGCTCTATAACACAGCGGCACTGTACAGAGCCACCGACTCTCATGTGTCATCTTTACGCGCTTGAATGCGTAATCTCGACGGCTAAATGTCTCGGTGCAGTGGAATATGTCTGCTTCGGGGCAAGAGTACCGTTCGCAATGACTCTTGCTATGCTTCCTGGCGTCTTTCATTGTGAGGAATAATGTTTCACACGAGTACTCTTCCGGTAGAGGACAATGAACCCGCTTCTCATCAAGGGTTCTGAATGAACATTGAAGCCTTCCATGCTCTGATGCACCCGTTGCAATTCCCTAGCCCTTCCTTTTCAGCCAACAGAAGACTGTGCGCCGTCAGATGGTCTGAGATCACACTGCATACTGAAAGCACTTCATGTAGTGGTTTAGAATATCTTTAGTGCCAGGTATGGTGTTTGGAAGCTGTCTGGTTCGAAAAGACATACATACATAGGGTAGGCGGGACCCACATTGGCTTGACGGGATGCTATTATTCCGAGCCGTCTTCACATGGCTCAGGTCATACCACTAACGAATGCATCGGCGAAAAAAAAAATCAGCTTCCATTTTCTACCCCTCATCCACCAATCTTGAAACGAAATTCAAAATGGCAACTGCTGGAAAAAATGCTGGGCCGTCGCCCTACGATACGTATCAGACGTCGTTGACGACGAGATACTGCAGCCCGGAGATGGCACGGCTCTTTGGCCAACGCTCTCGCCACTCGCAATGGCGCAGGCTTTGGTTGCTGCTCGCAGAGTCTGAGAGAGAGCTTGGTATCCAGACCATCACGACGGAAGCGCTCGAGCAGATGAAGCAGCACCTTGAAGTAACCGACCAAGACTTTGAGGTTGCCAGGGCCGAGGAGAAGATCCGCCGCCACGACGTCATGGCTCATGTACACGCCTTCGGAGCTGTTGCGCCTGCAGCGGCTGGTATTATCCATTACGGTGTAAGTTGAAGTCGCAATCCTCCGTCTCCTTTGATGCATTTGATAATTTTGCAAATCTCTGTCAACTGAGTCTAACGGGTCAAGGCGACAAGCTGCTTCGTAACTGACAATGCGGAACTTATCCTCATGCGTGATGCCATGGACCTTCTCCTCCCAAGACTGGCCAAGGTTGTCTCAAACCTGTGCCAGCTTGCTAGGGAATGGAAGGCAACACCCACTCTTGCGTACACGCATTTGCAGCCAGGTATTTTCCCTTGCTACCACCAAATTGGCAGGAACTACGCTAACACTTTCTAGCTCAACTGATCACAGGTATACCGAAACCAATGCTTCTTTTCGGATGTGATACAAACCCTTGAGACAAAGTGCTGATTGGCATCTAGTTGGCAAGCGGGCAGCTCAATGGGCCCAAGATCTCGTTTTCGACCTAGAGAGTATCGAACACGTTCGCAATGGGTTACTGCTTCGAGGTGAGCCGCAATACATATGGTGCATCAGACAGCCAGAGACTGAACAATATGTCATACCAGGTGCACAAGGAACTACAGGAACTCAAGCTTCGTTCCTTGAGATTTTTGGCGGGGACGGCTCCAAGTGTGACCAGCTGAATGCACTATTGTGCAAGAAGACCGACTTTCCCGCATGCTACGATGTGTCGACGCAAACGTACACCCGCAAGGTCGACCTGCTCGTCGCCAACGCCATCTGCGGCCTTGGTGCTACGGCGCAAAAGATTGCCGGAGATATCCGCCATCTCGCCTCGTGGCAGGAAGCAGAGGAGCCTTTCGAAGACAAACAGGTGGGGTCAAGTGCTATGCCCTTCAAGAGAAACCCGATGCGTTCAGAGAGGGTCTCTAGCCTTGCCCGAGAGCTTCTGTCCAAGCAGGCAACCACTGCAAACACCCTCGCAGCGCAATGGATGGAGCGCTCACTGGACGACAGCGCCGTCCGCAGAATGGACTTGCCCGAGATGTTCCTCCTGGCCGATGCTATTATTGGCAGCCTGGACAATATCACCGACGGCATGGTCATTTACCCCCAGGTAATTGCGTCGCGTGTTCACCAGCAACTGCCTTTTATGTGCGCGGAAAACATCATCATGAAGCTCACTGCCAAGGGCATATCCAGGCAGGAAGCCCACGAGCAGATCCGCGTCTTATCACACCAAGCTGCCCGTGTCGTGAAGTTGGAGGGTAAACCGAATGATCTTATAGACAGGATCAAGGCTACAGAGTTCTTTCAACCTATCTGGGCTGATCTTGACGACATGCTGAGACCTGAGCTTTATATTGGCCGTAGTATTGAAATTGTGGAACGATATTGTGGTCTGGAAGGTGTAGCAGAGAAGAAGATCCAACGATACAGGGCAGTGTTCGAAAAATCACAAACGACGGAGCTAAATGTCTGATATGTTAGATAAAGACTATATCGATGGAAGAGGATGGGCTGGTGTGAAAATATACAGTTATATTGGAAGCTTTACATATTTGATGTAATTGCGTCTGTTGGTTTTACCAGGCAAATAGGCCGTGCGGTGTCACGGAGGAATAGATGCACTGGTCAATTCCTATGATTCAGGGCGACAAGCAGGTTCCTGATATTCACGGGGTCACCCCTCCTCGCCCCTGGTCTCACTGCTCTCCCCAAATTCACCCCGGGCATCGTGTTACCAGCTTAAGAGCAGCAAATCTGAGATGAGAAGCTTGGGGAGGCAATCGCACCCGAACGATGGAGTGATGCGCCACTCCGTCTGGTAGAAAATCGCCAATCGTCAGCCGTATGAATCGGGCGCCTTGATCACATGCTTGGTCGTTGTATTGAGCAGCAATTCTAACCAGGCCTTTTCCACCTCGCACAAGGGGAAATTGACCCGAAATGTCTTCTTCACAGCACGCACCAAGAAAGAGGTACATCCTTGTCGGCCTTGACTGGAGGAAAATAGCGACTGCAAACGCCAGGCGCGGAATAGGGACCCAAGCAACTCGTTTTGCAGTGACATCGAAGCAAAAGAACCACGAATCTCCGGCGGCAATCACAAGACTTGCACTCAAACTGTCGCCCTGTTGCGACTCAGCCAAGAGCCCGGGGTGTTGGCCCAGCACTGCACTGACTGCATGGGCCGGAATGAGTCATATTGCTCTGGACACAAAGGAGGGGGCACGTTTGTTTCTTCTTCTATTCCACAAACTCGACTACATCAACAAATATCCTTCTCCTTCTCAAAGAACATGGCGAATCTGACAACCTCTTCTGGCGACGTGTTCAACCGGCCACAGTTTGAATCGCTGCTGAAAAGGCGATTTTTCTTCACCGAAGCCTTCGAGGTGTACCGAACCGCACCCAACTACAAGGGAGACAATCGTGGCCTCTATGACTATGGACCGCCCGGCTGTGGTATGCTGGCCAATATTGTCAACGAGTGGCGAAAGCACTTTGTTATCGAAGAGAATATGCTCGAAGTCGATTGCACTGCTATAACACCAGAGGCAGTCTTGAAAACAAGTGGTCATGTCGATAGATTCGCTGATTGGATGTGCAGGGACCCTGCCAAGGGCGAATATTTGCGTGCCGATCACCTCGTTGAGTCTGTGCTGGAAACAAGGTTGGCAAACAGCCGGCTGGCTGCCGCTGACCCCCAGAGCAAAATGGAGAGATTGGACAGTGCCAAGGTAGAACAGTACCAAGAAATTCTAGCCAAAGTAAGACATCCTCTGTCAACGAGTGCCAAAAGTCCTGCCCAGCTAATCGGTGAATAGATGGACAACTACGATGGGCCTGAACTTGGCAAATTGATTAGGGAGCTTGATATCAGGAACCCCAATGGTGATGGCAAGGTTGAAGAACCAACTGCCTTTAATCTCATGTTTCGGTCTACTATCGGTCCAAGTTCAGCTTCGCCTGTATATTTCAGGCCCGAGACTGCTCAAGGTCAGTTTCTGAACTTCCGAAAGCTACTAGACTACTGCCAAGGGTCTATGCCTTTCGCATCCGCTTGCATTGGCAAGTCATATCGTAATGAAATTTCTCCACGGTCGGGCTTACTTCGAGTTCGAGAGTTCTTAATGGCAGAAATTGAACATTTTGTTGACCCGGAGAGCAATAAGAACCACGAACGTTTTAGCGAAATAGCTGAAATTGAACTGCCGTTTTTAGATAAAAAGACGCAACTTTCTGGACAAACGTCCATCTCATCGATGCCCATTGGCAAGGCCGTTGAAACGAAGCTTGTGGACAACGAAACCCTCGGCTACTTCCTTGCGAGAGTGTACCTATTCTTGCTCAAGATTGGCGTGGATCCGCAAAAACTACGGTTCCGCCAACATCTCGATAATGAGATGGCACATTACGCATGCGACTGTTGGGATGCGGAGCTTCTGACTAGTTATGGCTGGATCGAGTGTGTTGGCTGCGCTGACCGGAGCGCATATGACTTGACCGTTCATTCTCGAGAGACCGGAACCTCATTGACGGTCAAGGAAGCCCGCGCCACACCTCTTGAAATCACCGAATGGAAAGCAACACTGGAGAAAAGGCTCGTGGGGCCTCGATTCAAAAAGGATGCCAAGAAGATCGAGCTGGCAGTCGGGCAATTGGATCAAGATCATCTCAGACAATTAGCCACAGAGCTAGCTGGAAAGGGCGTCGTGACAATTCCTACAGACGAGCTTGCAAATGGTGCCCACTCTGTAGAGCTCACGTCTGATGTTTGCTCCATCAGACAAACCACTCGCGTGGAGACGACGCGGGAATACACGCCCAATGTCATCGAGCCTTCCTTTGGTATCGGCCGCATACTCTACAGTATTCTTGAGCACGTGTACTGGAGCAGACCGCAGGATGTTGCTCGAGAGGTACGCATATCGCAACCTGCCGCCGTTTTCTAAGCTGACCAACTTTCGCAGGTGCTCTCATTGCCTATCCTCGTCGCGCCTGTCAAAGTTTTGCTTGTACCACTGTCGAATAACGTCGGCTTTAAGCCCGTAATCAAGGCCCTGGCCAGTCGGCTGAGAGCTATGGGCATTGCGAATAATGTAGACTCGTCTAGCGTTTCTATTGGCAGGCGATACGCGAGAAATGACGAACTCGGCACGCCGCTTGGAATCACGGTGGATTTCTACACGTTAAAAGACGGGTCCGTTACGTTGCGAGAGCGGGATTCCAGAGTCCAGGTCCGGGCCTCTCAAGATGAGATTGTTGAGGCGATTAGAAATCTCACCGCGGGCGCTGAGGCATGGGATCAAGTGGCTAGGAGGCTACCCGTGTTTACAGGGCAAAGTCAAGAAGACTAACGGTAATAGATGAAGGCATAGATCTAAATTGCACAACGAGGGGGATGCTGGGAGGAATGCTACTTCTAACTCACAAATGAAATGAACAAGACCTTTGTATACTTATCGCCGCATACGACTCGAGTCTTGCAAGGGATGTGTTGGGAATTGCCACAAAATAGATAGACTCAGGTCACTAATATACTGGCTTGAGATTAGGTTATTGCATCACTTTCACAGGAATGCCGGCCACCATGGAAGCATTAGTAAGAACGACGGCTTTCGGACACACGTCGGCAGACGATAATTGGTTCGTGGTTACGGTAATTGCCAGCTGCATTTTACATTCATAATGTTGCGTCGGTTTCCTACACCGAGAATATCGTATCGAAATACTCTGTACCAATCATATTGTCACGCATGGTAACGTTGAATGACGTAGCGGGCTCAAAAAGCTCCAGATCAAGATCTATCTTGTCTCCGAAGCGGCAGAGCTCCGCTGTTGTAGAAAGTAGTCTAGAGTAAAAGCGTACTACATACCTGGAATTGACACTGAGTTTTGCATACCTGAAAGTATTAAACACTTTTAAACTCTAACTCTATTTCTAAACACAATTATTAGTAATACCCGTATATTAGAGTTTCAGGATATCCTTACTGTCAAGAGTATAAAAATAAATTTATTAGAAAAAACTAAAAACTCCATCTTATCTGATATGACTATACAACCGTTGTAATTGAGACATAAAATCCGTTCATGTCAATAACCTCGTCGCGTTGAGCACATGCATCCAACCTTCGTGGCGTAACTGAAATACAGCGGGTGCTAGAAATTTAAAGTTGCACAGCATACCCTCTCCTCATCGACTACGTTCCAGACGTGCGGAGAAAAGACAATTCAAGGTCGTCGCCCCGCGATGCCGAGAAGATTCATGGACGCTTCCAAGCGATGTGGCATCACCTGCACCGTCACAGCTGCCTTTTAAAGTATAAATAGACCCCAAGCATCCGACATGAAGGATTGAAGAGCACAATCATCAAGCTTTCGATAAAGAAGCAAAGAACACAGTCTCAAACTTTACAATCAATTTTCAACTTTGACTTTTATCCCCAACGCCAAAATGCGCTTCAGCGTTGTTACCATGCTCCTAGCCAGTCTGGCCAGCGGCATTAATGCCGACTACGTAGATACGTGGGAGGACGAAATGCCTCTTGGACAATTCATCGGCACCTTTGATACGTTTTCGAACAACCAATGCAGCGAGGGAGGCAAAGGTATTACTGTCACTGCGGACGACCGTCAAGGGCCCCTTCAGTCCAACGTGAGATCGGTCAAGTCCTACATTCAGAATCAGTATTGTAAGTTTTTCTTGTTTGAACCTCAAGGACCAGCATGTTGACGTGTGAAAATTGCAGTGTATATCTATCAGACTGGTACCCCCCCATTTCTGAGAATTACCCCAAATGATTACAGTTGCCATCCGCTCAATGGCTCTCCCAAATCCTGGCAAGTTCTCCCGTTTTAAATGCCAGATGCGTTAGCCTGGTCGTCGTACGGGGCCGTGTATAGGTTTTGCTCCATGTTGCTAGGGTTCTTATATTAGAATGGAAAGCAAGGGCGGTATACGAGCTTGTCGGGAAAGGACCGGAGTATTCCACAGAAATAGACAAGTATCCATCTTGGGGGCGCTGCTTCTGACTTTTGCGAAAATAATTGAGTGGTAGAAGTGCGGCTCCAAAGTAACATGGTCCTGTCTGTGTATCTAAACGCGCTGGAAACCGTGCAAGAGGATCCAATCGACTAGTAGTATTTAATCCCTGTTATATTAATAACGACTCATAATTAGCAGCTAAATTACCTATACAGCCAGGGGACCCTGCTCTATTAACCTTGTCAGGTTACGGGTAGTTCATTATACAGGGGTTGGAATGTAACGCTCGAGTTGGTAGACTCCAAGGGGGGCGGTGTCCATGACTGGGGTATAGTAGTTTGCCGCGTTGCCCTGTGCCGAGCAACACTCCTTCCAGAAATTGATAGGCACCGCGGTAGGGCAAGTAAGTTAATATAGTGAGATGTTCCCGTGTAAATAGAGATTTTTATCCGTATAAATACTAATACTCTATAGAATATAGGCAGAAAAGCCTACTTCGTGACAATACAAGCTAGACAGGAGCACGTTATGCTAGGGCAAAATGAGGCGTTTATGCGTCCTTAAAAATACAAACACATGACTCATATTTTTCGTAAGTTACGACTGGTAACTTGATTCCTACTCATGCCCGGCCCCACGTTACTAGGATTCGCTTCGCCTCACCTACCTTACGCGGCGTCTCTACGCAACTTCGTCTATAGCGTTTGAGCGCTATAGTAGTAATTAGTAACAAGCTTGGAGGGCACGTATAAAATGGGCATGCCCGACCTTGGAGGGTGTTCAACGTCAATTTCCTCAGCTTACTATCCGCTGCATTCTCCTACTATCCGCTCACTTTTTGCTACACGTACATACATGATGAAGCTTCTTACAGTCTTTCTCGCCGCCTTGACAACGGCCCTGGCGCAGAATGCAAGCCACGAAGATGAGGTCAGAAAAGCCTTCGACGTACGCTTGTACGCTGGAAGCTTTGCAGACTTGGGCGAGATAATGGCCAACAGTCTTGACGCGGTCAAAAAGCTTGGGCAGGACATGACGGCCCTGCGCATCGCAGGGGCCAACTCCATGTCTGAGGAGGATAAAGACGCCCTGCAGTATGCTGTGGACTTCGCAGACGAGATACGAAATAATCAAGACTTCGAGTATCTCGCCGATCGGGCGAGGAGCGCGGCGCGAGTTTCGAGAGAAGTTTCAGACAAAGCCAATCAAAGAGTTGTAGGTAATAATGCTTCGATAATAAAGTAGCGGAGCGCTAACAGTTAACCGGCTATAGAATCAACTCCTCGGTGGAAAGAAGAACTAAACACCATCACGGGCTATGTCCGGGTTGGCGGATCCGGCAGACTATGTACAAGGACTACCCCCGTGAAGCTCGGTACTGCGAGAACATCTACAATAGGCGATATAAGCTTACTCTGGAGGCTGCGGCCTCGAGTTCTACTTCTTTCCTCCTAAGCTCTAGATAGACAATACCTAGGCACCTGCTTTATTAGACAAACTGCAGGCTAGCCCCTTACAGCTAGGCAAGACATTTAATTCTAAACAAATGAGTCGATTCTTTTTATTATCACACGCGGGATGACGTGCTTCAGCCTAGCTGACTCGGTCGTCGTCAACAATGCGCTAAACTCTTTTTAGGGTAGAAGTGGCTCGATAGAAATAATTGAATTGAATTATTGCCCCCCCTCTCGTTCTTCACCCTCTGTTCGTTAACCCAGGGTAATTACATTCGTCAGGAAGAGTTTGCCTGTTACACAGCTCCCCTACTCCGACCCAAGACACCTACTGTGGGTGGAAGTACAAGGCATGGCCATTGTCAACTTCTACCGTAAACCCGGAATAACTGAGGACCTAGAGATATTACTTGACTCTTATGGACCCACCCCCCTTCGGAATAATAGTGGCTGGGGACTTTAATGCCGGCCGCAAGACCTGGCAAACTGGGGCGAAGACATCAATTGATATTAACGTGGGCCGACACCCACAGCCTTGAACTCCTTAATTCCCCGCAACAGAGGAGTTTTAGACCTCCAGTCGCCTTCACCAACATCCCTCTATGCACCTCCAGACTCTCCAAAGAACTAGAGTATGCCTCAGACCACAAGGCCATACTTATTACCATACCAAGCGGCATCCGACCCAAATGCCCAACACGCCCACACGTCATCACCACTAACGACGAAATAGAAAGGTTTCCTACCATTCTGAGAGACAAGGCTCTATATATAAACCCACGAGTCAACAGCATAAATAACCTGGACCGTCTAGCCTCTGAAGTCTCCTAATCCCTGACTCGTTGCAAAAGGCGGGCAGAGTCCGAAACTTCAAGGTATGATCAATGGAACAAGGAATGCTCCAGAACCCACAAGGCGCTATTGGCCAGACACGATTTCCAGGAAGCAAAGGACATCTGGACCGTTGATGCCTTCAAGAACGCCACCCGCCGAGGCAAGTGGGGCTTCTGGGCAGACAAAGTAGATTGACAAACTCTACGGAGTACCACCACAAAAAAAGAAGCGTATGCCATAACAAAATAGGCACAACAAACTACTGCGAACTTCCAACCACCCAGCCCGGTGTCCCGGGGTAAAACCCATGTGACATCCGGCGAGAAGGCCGAAGAACTTCGCCAGGTCAAACTCTAAAAAGTAGGAACTAGCCAGGACCATCCCCCAGGCGGCATACCCACAGTGCCTCGGCAAAAAATACAGGTACGTACAGACGTGAGCCTGGAGGACTAATATCACTTGACTGTTTATAACAACAGCTGCTAACTTTACTCCGGCACCTTCAAGTGAGAATATACTATTATAGAGCCAATTTGCAAGCAACGACTTTACTATCCCATTGAGTGTGCGAAGGTGCATGTTATGTAGTGGACCTACTCTTTTCTGATATATTAGATACTTTTTCTTGCTAGATTTAATTATAGTATAGTAATATATCTTTATATATAGTTAAAGATAACTAGTACTTATATTCTTATATTATTTACTAGATAAATAAGTATCTTTTAATAAGTAGCTTCTTATTAGCCCACATCCCGGTCCGCTACAAAAGCTGCACCTTCGCACACTCAATGGGATGTAAATATCAGGCAATCTCATGTCCCTTGTTTCAAAATAAACAGTCAAAGTCCATTGTTATCAAATAAATCATCTGCAACGCAATTTCATTCACAGCTTCGAGAACATGCTTTCCTTCTCGGACCGCACATCCAGCTCATGCGTCCACGTACTCCGCGGCTGCGTATGCAAATACCAATACACCCTCGCCAGATCAGCAGGCTGCACCAAGTGAGCCTCGACATCGGCCAGCTTCTCCCCGTCGCCCGCGCGCTCCCACTGTCGTCGACGCACGCCGCCAATCAACTTGCCGTCGACGGGCCCGTCCACAATGACATGAGCCGCGTGGATGCCGCGGCCCTGGTACTCCCGCGTCACAATCTGCGCCAGCGACCGAAGGCCAAACTTGCCGGGCGAGAAGCTGCTCAGGCCGGGCATGCCGCGCAGCGAGCCCGTCGCCCCGGTGTACACGATGGTCCCCCGACCGGCCGCGAGCATGTCCGGGAGAACGCACTTGGTCGACCAAAACGCGCCAAAGAGGTTAATCTTGGTGAAGCCCTCGAATTCTTCGGTCGTCGTGTCCAGGATGGAGCGCCCGTTGACGCGGCGCGCGCCGGCGTTGTACACGAGCACCTGCACGCTTCCGAGCTCGTCGCGGATCCGGCGGAAGCTGGAGATGACGTCTTGCTCGACGCGTAGGTCGGTGGGGTAGTATCTGGCCGTGTCGTGGCCGTGGTCCGCCCGGATGCCCTCTTGGATGGTGTGCAGCTTTTCGGCGGTGCGCGCAATCAGGGCCACGACGAAGCCGTGCGAGACGAACTCGCGGGCGACGGCCTCGCCGATTCCGGGGCCGACGCCGGCGACGGCGACGACGGGCTTTCCCTGCGGGTTGTGCGACATGATGCTTTGATTGGGATGATGCTTGGTGGTTTGGGGGGGCGAGTGCCGCTCCTGGAATGTGTCTGGTCGATACATATGTAGCTTATACATGGCGAGGATGCCGAGGGCCGGCCATGATGAGTGATCGCACCGCGCGTGCCGGGATACACATCAATTAATGCAACATGTATGCATGCGACGCATTACTCCAATTACAACATCATCATCCTCTAATCAATTTTGCATTAAACTGAGTATCGGGGTACATGGCAATTTCACTAAACACTGCTGGCCCACGGCTTTCCGCCCGTCTCCTTTGCCAAATCCTGCATCCGCATCCAGGCCACGGGCCCGCCGCTCAGCACCACGCCGTTCTGATTCCCCAGCCCGGTGTCAGAATGGTCAATCTTGCCCTCTCCCATCAGAAACCGCAGATATCTCTCCGGCGTGGGCGACGGGTTCGCCAGCACCTCGGCCTTGTACGCCGCCAGCGGCACCGAAGTGACGTCTATCTGTCCGGCGCCGCTGGCCCGCATGATGTCGGCGATTTCTTGGAAGCTCTTGCTGTCGCCGTTGAGACTGACCTCGTCCGGGACGTCACCCAGAGGCAAAGACGCCAGGTTGGCCAGGGCCCGTCCAATGTCCGACTTGCTAATATATGAAGTCCTCTGGCCCGGGCTGCCGACGGCCTCGTACCGCCCGTCCTTGGTGTTGAAGCCGAACCACGGGCCGATGGAGTCCTCCAGCAACAGACCGGCGTAGACGCGGCAGCGGCGAATATTCGGAATCAGCTGCTTGGCCAGCTCGAAATGGCGCTTCTTCGTGTCCCACTCCTCGTGGGGGAAGTCGTGTATGTAGTGATTGACGCCGAACTCGGACGGGAAGTACAGGCTCACCGACGTCGCGGGCAAGCTGCGCAGGAGCTTTTCCTTGAAGGCGTGCCCGGACGGCCCGACCCTGGCAGCAGGTTAGTCTGGATGGAAGTTGTGCGGCATCATTCGCGCAAAGGCGTACACGCTGATCAGGACGTCGACGCCCTGCAGGCTTTGTGCGAGGTTGTCTTCATCGTAGACGCGCAGCTTGGCGCCGGCGGCGGCGAGTTCGGCGGCGGCCTTGGACTCGGCTCGCGCGAGGACGACGATGTCTTGGAACTTGGTGCGGTATTGGGGTGATAGGAATGCCCGGGCGACGTGCGACCCCAGATTGCCTGTTGCGCCGGCGATGGCCACGGTCCGGAGAGCCATTGTAGTTTGGTGATGGAATCGTGTTTGAATGGAGGCGTTGGCAGATGGCCCTTGGGTGGTGGCAGCAAATGTGCGGAGAGGGCCTTCTTTATTGTTTCGTGGACATGTCGGCGATCCCTCGTGGTTGAGAGAAGTTGGGCACCGGATTTGTAAGTCGCGGGCAAAGTCTAATGTGTGAGGCTTGACTGAATTCAATGTTGGCTTTCATGCTCGTCATACCCTAACCAATCGCCGGTGGCTGCGCTGCTGAGCAGCCAAGTGTCTCTAACACGGATGCGATCTACATGCTGTTTTTCTCGTTGCGGTGTCGGTTGAGTGGGATTTCTTATCAATCACGTAGTGAAAACCTCGCATGCTTTTGATGCGTCATCCTTATAGGCGCAAGACTAGGCATTCCCGCTGCGCCGTTTGTTGATTTATTTTTGACAACTTTCGATAAAACTTCCAGTCGGCAATGGGTTTCTTTTTAAAGCAATTGCCAACACAGTGTGATCGGAACCTACCCTAGACCCTGGCACCAAGTCTCGGTGGTTTGCGGGGAAACCACTTAGTACACGCACCCTGTTGATAGAGGAATCAATACTTTATTGCAATGGATTTAATAGTTAGGCTAAAGGTATTGTATCTATACCTTGGGTTATTAAATCTTTTACGCTGAATGTGTAAGCAACGGTGTAGGTAGTTCGCATGCCAGGACAAGGTCAACATTGAAGTGCTACTCGGGTAGTAGAGACCACAAAATACTTGACGCTTCTTATTTCGGTTATATACGTCCCATTTCATTCTTGACTATGTCGACATGTTTCATGAGTACTCTCAAAAATTGACCTTACATGTGGTAAAACATTGACCCTCATATACTAGTAGTACGTTTGCTTTTTCAAATGTTTGCTGCATTAAATGTTGCGCCTACTCCCGAGCACTACAATGACTGCAAGGATGCGCTCGCAAATTGCCAACCAGTCAGTTAGCCTCCACACTGTTTGATGTGGCCATGACTCGGGAAGTGACGGACCTGGGGGACTCGAGTCACTTGACCCTGAGAACCCGCTCGGACGTTTGGCAGTAGCGCCGTTGTGAACCATCCAACTGTTCAACGAACTCTATCGACGCTG